AATAATTCAGAGCACATGTGATCAGAGCAAATTTAAATTCTATATTTTCTCAAAATAAAATTTAAAAATATCTCTTGATACATATTTAAAAAGTATTCATTGACACCATTCTGATACATTTATCACAGGTTGAAATTTGGTTATATTTCATGGGCAAGTTTGCTGTTGGCACCTTTCTGGCTTCCCCCTCCTGGGAAATGAGCCTCTAGACTTATAATTTTGGTAGCGTTTATATCAATTTCTTCTCCCCTTTAAAAATATTTATTATTTTTATTTTACGTGTATGAGTGGATTTCCTGCATGTATGTTAAATGTACCTCTGTGATGAAATGCCTGTGGAGGTCAAAAGAGGGCATCAGATCCCCTGAAACTGGAGGTAGACAGTTGTTAGCCACCATGTGGGTGCTGGGAACTGAACTAGGATCCACTGCAAGAGGAGCCAGTCTCTTAATCAAGCCAATGCCAGCCCCCTCCTTTATTTTTGAGACAGGGTCTCATGCAGTCTAGGATAATCTTGAATCTCAGATCCTCCTGTCTCTTTATCAGACATGCTGGGATTACAGGCATACACTACCACACCCAGCTTGTACATCATTTCTTTGACATTTATCCATGACTAGAATTAAGAAGTTGTAGTGAAAATATCTCATATTTCTATTTAACAAATTATATATGATTTTACAAAAAATGCATCCCTATCTCTAAAATTAGAGGAAAGAAACTGAGGCATAATCTCCCCAGTAGCAGTCACGGGGAAATGTTAGGGTCTATGAATCTGGAAGGACTGTAATATGATGATTTGATGGATGACACGACCTGGAAGCCACAGAAAAAGGGATGGGATTATACCTACTCTAGCCATGTTGTACACTACTTAAAAGCCAGCACATTGGAGCTGGCCTTTGTCAGGCATGGAGCTGCTTCTCAGTGGTCCTGCTAAGGAAGAATGGGTGAATGTATTGCAGGTCTTACACTAAACCAGGACATAAAAGCTGTTTTATGTTGCTGCTTTCATTTCTCTTCCTCAGCTTGACTTACAAAATCAAGACGTATAAACACACATATCAGCCTCGAACTTTGCCCTATAACTCATTGTCTCTGGTGTCTCTTTTCTCCTTCCTGTCAGTCCTCAGTGGCTCCGTCGCTGTGAGAGACTGTGTTATTTGTGTGTGTCTGTGTGTGTGTGTGTGTGTGTGTGTGTGTGTGTGGCTATCTTCCTATGAGAGTGGGTCTGCTTCTGTCCTTGACTCACTTTTTCTCTCTTCTTTTCTTCTCTCTGTCTTTCTTGGTCTTGGTACACCAGGCCTTTTCTGTTTAAGTCTATTCTTTTATTTCTGAAACATTCACAGACCTATTCAGTGAAGATGCGGCATACAGAAAGCACACACCCAGCAAGCTCAGCACTAGGGTATGATGTGCTTCCTGAAAAGTCTCATCCAGACAGCTGTCCTTCACTTCAGTAATGACAAAAGGCAAGCCTTCCTTTTGAATTTTTAACAGAGGCAGTTTTCAGGTAATGAGCAAAATAATTCTGTGTCTTGACAGATGTAAAAATGACCATAAAAAAGGATGATGGCAAACTCAGCTGAAAAGTCGGACTTGACACTGGCAGAGTTTTTAATAGAAGTCTATATAAAGAAACAACAGGTATAGCAGACATGCAGCAAAGGAGCATATCAAAAGGGGAAGCTGCTAAGGCTAGAATGTTCTATTAGCAAAGACATCAGGAATGTAATTACATACACACGGCAGCATTTCTACTTAGCATGGAGTAGTACAGCTCTGCTGCACGCTTTCCACACTTTTCCTCTCTTCACAACTCGCATCCTTCTAGGCTGCGTGGCCAAGGAAAGCATGTTAGAATAACAGCAATCGATACCAACAGAGTCCTAATATTTATACAGCACTGTCACACTACTGTTCCCCCTGCCACTCATAGCCAAGAACTCTAAATTTTTGGGAAGTTAAGTAATTTGCCCAACCTGGGTTACTCGGAAAATTTCAAAGCCAGAATTTCAGTCGATATCTTTTTATTCAGTTCACCAGGGGGACATAGTTCTGAACTGAGGACTGCAAATGTCACAGGAAATGCCACAACTCAGCTACTTGAAGCAAGGTGCAAACTCCCTTCAAATGCCCCCTTCTCCTTTCTCCATCTACTGTTGAATCAGAGACTGACCCGATGTGCATATTTTAACTTTTTATAAAGTACAGCTAATGTGACTATTACAGTTAAAATATGCAGCAACATATAAACATACTTTGTTACAAGTTATGTGATGGTGTCTTGAGGGGCTCATACTATGAGCACATACTGGCATATCTATGGCATAAACTGTGTCCTCTTACATGTCTCTATCCTCCTAAGGCCCTGATTAAAATCTTTTCTTAATAGACTCCAACTTTGCTGCATAAAAATTACATTATCATTATGAAGAAAACAATAGTTTTGCAGAATAAAGGTAACTATAGCAACCTCAGATTCGAATCAACTTCCCTCTCAGGCAGTGGCAGCAGCTTCTAGGGGCTTCAGGAACTTCACATTAAAATGTGTCTCAAACACACAAATTTTGGATGCCATTAGTTGAATTTCTCATTTAGTGTTAGCAATTTAATTCTACCTTTTGGGGTCAATAACTGAAGTAATCCAATTACACAGCTGTCCTGGGGTTTGCTTCAGTGCAGCCGTGCCTGCTACCCTTGTAGTCGTGAGTTCTGCCCAGCACTGGAATGTCTCTCACTCGATGTCCATTACACAGGAGGAATGGTAACACCCTTGAGACATGAGGTGGATTTCGGAAGAGCTCACTGGAGCTAATCTGAACTGGCCCTGACACCTCACATGCACTTAACAGAAGGTTCAGTTTGGGGAAATGGAAAAAGCTACAATTGGCAGCATTTTTCTTAATATCCAAGCATGATGGGCTCCATAAGAAAGTGAAAGCATGAACAGATTCCAAGCCTGTTTTATGGTGGACTAAGAAATGGCAGCAGTAGGGATTTCAACAAATTTTCATTACACCCATAATATACAATACATTGTATTAATAAATGAGGATAATAGGTAAATGATACCTAATTAAAATATTTTATTATTTTATATATATATGGGTGTATTGTCTGCATGTGTGTAAGTGCACCTGTGTTGTGCAGAGCACATGGAGGTCAGGAGAGGGCATCGGATTCCCTGGAACTGGAGTTACAGATGGTTGTTAGCTGCCATGTGGGTGCTGGGAATCGACCTGGGTCCTCTGCAGGAGAAGACTGTGCTTTTAACCACTGAGCCATCACTCTAGCTCCATGAAAACTACTTTTTTTATTTCAAAATATGAACTAGTAGAACAGAGACAAATATATGTATCCTTCACACAGATATACACTAAGAAATGTCATAAGATTGCTAGAGATCAAAGACTTTTAGTGTTTGAATGTGCTAGAAGATGACATCTTACTAGAGTTTTGAGATAGTTGACTCTGAAAGACCAGGAAAAAGAGAGGCATTCCGAGGAGGTAAACAGATTATAAGGGGTAAGACTATCCTTAAGTAAACCTTGTTCAACAGAATGGGACATGAAGGGGAATTATCGCTGGCAGGGCTCAGAATCTATTTTGAATTTAATAATCACATGGAAATTACTAAAATCTTTGAAAAGGCAATCATAAATTTTGAAGGTGACTGATGGACCCCTACAGGGAGAAAAACAGCAGAGATGGAAAAGATGCAGAGCAAGAAAAATGGAGGCCATGATTAGGGCAGACAGCTGGAAATTAAAAATGCAGAAATTTGAGGATCCTATGGAATCTGGAGTTTCAGAAAACTAGCAAAGTGATGTTTGAAATAAATACATAAATGTATGAATGAAGGAACAAGTGAATGCCTGGAAACATGAATGAGTGGAGAACAAAGGAAGGGGAAACCAGAGAAAAGGCAACAAAATTGTAATAATGGTGAGAGAGGTTTGGCTGAGAAGGGAGCAACAGCAGACATCGAGGAAAAGACAACAATATTTCAACGGAAGCTAATTTCTTTTAACATGAACGTAAGAGACATAGATTTTAAGTGTTATATGTTTTCTACTATACTTACTCTCAAATTATAGTTTATGACTTATGATTCTATTATGCTCTTCTTACAGAGGCACTGTGAGAAAGAGATGATGAAATTTGACTCATGTCACTCAGTTATTAAATGTTCATTTGAAAAAAGACCGTTCTCAGTTCTGAATCTCTTGACTACTACATCACACAGTGAGGCTACCTGAAACTTGGGTTTGTGGGAGGAAAGAAAAGAAACTGCAGTCACAGGGATGGGGTAATGGTTAAAGCAAAGGCAAAGGGGACACGATGTATGGATCTCCTTTTTAGGAGTAGCCTTTGCAGAGGTAATCTAGAGACAATATTAGAGGAATGGGGAGAGTGACATGGACAGACTTTTAAGGGGAGTTCTAGAGAAGACTTTTTTTTTTTTTTTTTTTTGTCCTGGTAAAACACACGGTGAGTTCAGAATTCTAAAGTAGGATACTTGTTCTAAAAGTGTGAGTTAGGGAAGGGTCTTGGAGGGATCTCAGCATAAGTCCTGCATCTTGCTGTATTTCATAAAGGAGGAGCAAGAATCCTCAGCAATATCTCCACTATGTGTGGCTGTCAGCAAATCCTCCCCAGGCACACATATGCATTACAGCAGGGATCATCTGCACACGTAAGCTGTGCAGAACCCAGTACCAGGAAAGAAGAGGAATGAAAAGCCAACTTGTACTCCTGGATATCGTCTCTGTCTTTTTCTACTTGAAGTGGTTTTGCCAGTGAAAAGAAGCATAAAGTGCAGCTCACCTAAACCAACAGCATGTTGATATACATTTTTCTTTTGTGTGTATGTGTCTTTGTCTTATAAGAAGTGCCTGCTATTTACAATCCGTTACTAGGTGATAATGGTAAAGCACATTTTCTCTGTCTTCCAGGCAACCCTATACATTTCACTATGTATTTGCAAGTCAAAATACCTGTTGCCGTGCACATGAGAGGCACAGAATGCAAAGCTGTAATGGAGCAGGGTGGGGTCAATGACAGCACCATTTTCTGAATGTTCCATCAGTTCTGTAAGGTAGCAGAGATGCCTATGACAGCCTCTCACACCGTAACGGGCACAGTACTCATCTAACACAAAGACCTGGCCAGGGCTAAACCAACCCTGCAAGAGAAAAGAAAAGAGACACACATTTTTTTATCCTAAGATTCATCTTTCTGTAGGCACACTTAGGCTATGAGAAGCTGCATCGGGACGTCTCTCAGAATTTATTTTATTAGTGATGTTTTTATGCTATTTTCAGGTGGAATGGCATCAGTTTTTGCAACTGATTTGAGACACCAGCAACCTAATATCACTTTGCCGATAGACAATTTGCTCCTCTCCACTGCCATTCAAAACTAGTCAAATTTATTCACAAGATTTATTTACTTCTGTCAGTCACAGAGTGATACTCCCCAAACTCAGCTAAAAAATGGGTAGAAAAGCAGACACTGGCACTGGCATTGCCCGTTTGCTGAAAGCATTTTATAAAGCAAACTAAAGGAAAATTTCAGTAAGTGTATCATTAGTACACACACACACACACACACACACACACACACACACACACGCACACATACTACTGAGTGCTTAAATATCTGGGAGTTTTTCTCATTCTGTCCTTCTATGGCCATATAACAGGGTTGACATTTTTCAGCAGTGGTTTGTTGTCCTTTGAATGTGAGATGCTGGGCTGGGTGGGAGCATATCCATAGAAAGCTTGCAGACTGCCTGGCTAATGCTGGAGGACAGGACTAAGTAGGCTTGCTTTGTAAAATATTCTGACAGATTAAATTCCATGGATTAGCTTAAAATAATAAAGAGAAAGAAAAGAGAATTGTAAAAGGAAACAGTATAATCAGGAAATGAGGAGTGAGATAGAGACATGAAGAAGAAGGCATTAGCAAAGGAAGAGGAAGGGAGTCTCCCAGGCCCGCTGTGGAGATGGGAAGCCACTCAGTACCTGGCATATTACAGACCCTGGATCTCTAATAATTAAAACTGTATGCATGCTAGTTATCATGACTTCTTGTAACAAATAAGCTAAACTTGAACAATGTGAAGTAATTTGTCCAAGAACACAGAGAAAATTAGTTGGTGAGTCTTGTGACAGTCAGGGCCATCCTGCCTCCAAACTGTTTCTAATCATATTGTACTCCCCTCTCAGTGTCCATAAGACCCCTGGTAGCTTTATCTTCAGAATCCTAATTGAATCAATGACCCATCAGTACAAATATGTAAGTTAATTCATTTCCTCTTCTCTACTGAGTATCTCCAGAGACTTGGGAGCATAGTGTCTGAAACCTTACTATAAAGAGAATATAATTTATTATATGAAGGTACTATGTTCAGTGTCTAAGGAACTCCAGTAGTGACAGCAATTGCCATTGCCAATACTAAATAAATGAAGGGGCCTAAATGAATATTATGCTATAATATCAATCCCCAGAATCTGTGGTGTCAAGCAAAATATAAATCATAACATCAAAATTTGGTTATATGTTCAGCACATACTAGATAGTAGTTAGCTACTCAAATTACCTCTGTCTCTGTCCCTCTGCCCCTCTCCCTCTCTACCCCTTTGCCCTTCTACACCTCTGACTTTCTTACAATTCAAATGATTTTTGGAGGACTAGATAAAATAAAGCTGCCCTGTTTTGAGGATCCCATCAAATTGTTCATCTTCCCTGTCATTTATGTTGCCCTTCTAGGAATCAGAGAGAAAGGTGTAAGATTGCAACATCTGATGAGTAGAATATAAACCTTAAGATGTCTGTGCAGGTGTTGATAACTTCTATGGCAGAGGCTTTTATATCTTTATTTAAAGCATTCTGTTTTCTTTGGCTTTCTCTGGAGGGACTAATAAAGCAGTTCAGTATCTATTCGAGTCTATTCTCTTGTCTATTGAGTGGCACAGCAGTGGTCTTCGAGTGTATAATTTTCAAATTGGGAAGCAATCAATTGAAATTCTTTATCCTGAACTCCTAACTACAGTTATTAAATGAGTCAGTAATAAAATGATGATTTACAATGAGTATTTCCCACTTTCTAAACTCTTTTATTCTAACCTATAGGTGACCAGACAGATTTTTACTCACCAAACAAGAATAGGAATCATTCAGTCTGTGATCCAGAGTCTTTCTCTGGAGAATTCTGAAGAGGAAGGCATGGTCAAGCTTGCAAGGACTAGCAGAGATAAATTCATCCATACCATGCTTCTGAAAACGGTCTGCATCTGGGAATCCAAAAAGAGCATGCAGAGCACATGAGTTTTTCTGTTTAAATAATTAATACAGTTCACAAAGAACATTGAGCTCAGGGATAATAGAAATCCACCCTTTGATATGTGGGATATGATACAAAGAACCAAGCATTATAAGGTTTGAAGCCCAAAAATGACAGAAGAAAAAAAATCCATAAGCCATTTAGAATGAATAAATTCAATTAAAACCTTTTAATCACATTTATTTTTTTGCATGTGTGTGCATGTATGTAAGTATAAGTACATATGTGCCACACTGTGTGTGTGGGGGGGGTTGAGGATAATTGAGGAATTCAGTTCTCTTCTTCCACTAGGTGGGTTCTGGAGCTAGAACTCAGGTTGTCAGGTGTGGCTACGTTTGCCTTTAACCTCTGAGCCTTCCTGCTGGCCTGAAATCCAATTTTTATTAAAAGCTGTTTCTAATATCTATTAGAAGAATAATCTTATTTCCCAATTAAAAAACAAGTTGATGTGTTTTAAGTATACAATTACTAAAGGAACTGACGGGCAAAGAACTCGGGTCTATTCAGAGAGAAACCCAGCCATGGTGACCAGAAGCCTGCTTCCAAATGGCACACCAGGGCAGAGATAAGCACAGAAGCTCCATCTGGATCACTTCCAGTCTGCTTTGTGTCTGAAGCTTTTAGTGGGATCAACGTTAATGCAGACATGGCAATGAACGCTCTCAAGCGTCAAGTTTAAGAGACATGAAAAAGGGAGCATCGTGTCTGCAAATATGCAGACAAAGCCCCATGTCCCAAATGGCACTTCAATCAAAGGTTCAAATTTATTGTTCTTTACAGATTGCATCTTTCAGTGCCTGTGAACCCTGTGGGTTTATCAAAAGGCAAGCTTTTATGATTGCTTTCATTAATGGCATGTTTTGTCAAAATCTTCAATGTGATTGACTAAATATAGACAGAAAAAGCCCCACACGTCCCAAAAGGAGTGCTCGGGTGTTACTACATTAGCTCTGACAGAAGCAGTCAGTTATCAAGATAGAAGTGTACTCTTCCACAATAGTAAACATGATGGTCCACTGTTCCTTAAAATTCACACATAGATCTCTTTTCTGGTCATCACAAGCAAAGCAGCATCCTAAACATAAGCTGTGTAGTTTCTAAAACCTATGCAGTACAATCCTGAAACTATAAAGGAAAAAGAGACAAAAGTTTATTGATTAAACCCAATTATAGAGTCAGGCTCATAATAAAACTCAATATTGATCTGTGGACATGATGCTAACATAATCAGTCACATTTAGATATTTAGCCCAGATCATATTGATCCATGTCAAGTTCAACTTTCAGCCATATTTGTGGATGGAAGAACTATATAATTCAAGCTGAAGGGTCTTGAGAACCACATTAAAAAAGACACAAAACTAATGTATATCGCACATCAATGACACATATAAAAAACTGAAGTCATCAATAAAGCAATGAAGGAAAACGCATTAATGAGGCAAAGAATGGGATCACAGTCCTGGGAGAAAGCAGTGCCTGTGCTCTTTACTATTAACAATTATTTACCTGAATGATGAAATATATTATGCAATAAGTACTATTCAAAGGATTTTGAACTGAAAAAATAGGACAGTTCAATTTCTCTTATATTTCGTCTGACTGTTTAAAAGTTAAACATGTAATAATATGAAATAGAACCAAATGAGGATATAGAATATTAGAAAGGCAAAGCATGAACATTATGGGATTCCAAGGTTATTTCACATTTGAATGAATTTATCGAGGAATTTTCACTATGCAATGAGACTGCGAGATCATGCTATAGCACAAGGAATTTATCTTAGAATCTTCATATTATGAAAAAGCAAGATTATTTTATATTTGAAGGAATTCATCTAGTTTAGCATCTTTATTTCTCTAAGTAAAAAATTCTTTTAGTTTCACCTTTATGAAGTGATTGTTTTTATGAAATAACTGCTGAATTTTATTCATTATTCCTTTCAGTAGAGAAGGTCACAAGAAGCAGTTAAAAATAACGACCATTAATGACTTATCTGTGGAGAATAAGATATGTAATAAATTTCATAGGGGAAACTTATAATTCTTATTTTATGATAAAGGTTTATAGAGTCATTTTTAAAAACAGCAGACAAAATATACAAGTTTCTGAAAATGAGTCTGTAGTTAATTTTTATAATTAATTTTTACACTGATAAAATATTTTTTCATAAAATATAACTAAATATTTTTTTACTGATGTGACAAAAGAAAACAAAGGCTATGAGATGGGCCAGTAGGTAAAGGTGCTTGTGGTCACACCTGATGACCTGAGTCATATACCCAGGACCCGAATGGTGGTGGAAGGACAGAATCGAGTCCTGCAAGTTGTCCTCTGATTGCTACTTGAGTGATGCGGCACACACCCTCCGCCACAAATAATAAATGTAATAAAAAACAAAAGCTCAAACAAACAACAACTGCAATCCTTCCAGGTCTACAGCTTTATGAAAGCAGGTTGTAAAGACCCAGCACCTCTACTCAACTGATGACAGACAAGCAGAACTCAAAACACTAAACGAAAAGATACTTCACCACTGGTTTCCATGAATTTATGAAGAATTAAAAAAGAAACCCCAAAGTTAACAAATTTGATCTCCCCATGTGACAGATCTTTTTATTTTTAGTATAAAATAATAATAATAATGTAAAAGTTTATTTGTTAAAAATACAGTTGGACCAGTTTGTTGGCCTTTCTTTGAAACAAAGCATAGCAATGTATATGAGTGTTTATAATCTGTTGCAAAGTCAAAGGAACAGCATTAGTATAAAAGTGAGGATACAGATGTGTGCTATTGAATGATTCTTTGTTATTTTTAAAATAAATATTATTTTCTGTATTTGAGGTTTACAATATAGTGTCATGGGGTATATAGTGAGAGTAAAACAGTCAGTAAGGTGAAGCAGATTAATATACTAACCATCACAGCTAATGTTTGTGATAAGAGCAGCTAACATCCACTTATTTTACAGAACTGGCTAATGGAATGGGATCTTAAGCGCACTTCTCAAGTACGGGACATTTCTAGATACCTACACCTACAAATATGTTCCTTGGTATCATTTGAATATCTCTACATTTCTTCATCTATGTTTTTAAATGTAGAAGTCTATCATAAACTAAAATAGGAAATAAACTATAATATTATCTAATTTCTTATTTTTATGAGAACAAGTTTTCATATTGTTTTTCCTTGGCATAAAGTATTTACACATTACTGTTAATACACAGCAGCAACATCTAAGCCAAATGGAGGCTATGTTTCCAGTCAAGTAGGATAGTCAAATTCTATACTTTAAAATTGGGTTATATCTGATTACCTTCAATTAATGTTTTCTATAAGACAAAATAATTCTTATTTTTTAACTTAAAAAATTATTGAGGATTTCTTACATCCATATAATGTGTTTGATCAAGTCCACGCCCACTCCCTCCCCCCCTACTCCCATATCTCCCCCTCACTTTTTTTTCTGAAAACTTTGTGCACTCTTTCTTTTGGGGGGGGGTCTTGAAGACAAAAATATTCATAGTTTTAATAAAACATTCTCTGATATGATAACAGCAAATTTAAGTTTAGTTTGTCTTATCAAACAGCACGAGAAAATTATCAAAACAAACCAACAAGAAACAAGCTTAAATAATGTAGTGTAATGCAGTCATAAATGGTGATGATTGACCTCTGGACTAACTACAGATGTGGGACATGGTAACTGAGGATACTGGAGGAGTTTCTATGGTAACAGATGGATATATATATATATATATATATATATATACTGTAGCATCTTTAGGTGATACTGCAATACTACAAGGAGTGTTAACAGTAGATGGAGATTTAAGAAATTATAGAGGCTTTATTCAAGTAAAACCTGAAATTTGAATTTTTCATAGGATAATCGCTATGGGAAGTCAAGGGAAAAGAATAAGTATGTTGACCGTATCAATTTACACAGTTAAAACTATCTTGAAACCAGCTAGCACAGAAAACATTGTGAGTACCCTCAGGGATCTGACCAACCCCTCTGCTCTGATGCAGGTACTATATTAGGTAGGCACTGACCCCAACCAACCTCGTGTGCCTAAGAACCCAAATCTCCAGAAGGGCATCTAAGTCAAAGTTAAGGAATGTCAGATGGAAAAAACCTCCTTCTTCTCTCTTTGCACCAAATACTAAGGATGCTGCAGTTTTTTTAAAGTTTAACCAAAAACATTTTAATAGAGCTACAAAATGTTTTACTGCTCTTGGTGTGGTGAAGTATTGTGATCTTACAAAGAAGGGGAAGAGGGAGAGTAGTAACTGAATTGGAGCCCTTTTAACAGCATTCTGAGGTCACTGAGGCAACTAGAAATGGGGCTCAGTAGCAACTGGCTAAGAGGAGGGTGCAACTAGCTAAGAGCAGGTTGAGGCACCTAAGCAGTATATGAACCTTGTGAAGTACAATTCATTTTCCTATGCTTAAAACTGTCATATGCTTAGGAGTTTGCCCAAAGCTGCAGTAATCATTATTCATGTCAGATTATCCCTTTCTTTTACCTCAATCTCTTATCCAACTTCAAGTAGCTTAGAACAGTTGGCACCTGTAATGCTTTGGTATCACATACGTAACCTTTAATAGGAAGAGTTTAATGTTTTAAATTTCTATGTAGATCAGTCTGTCTAGTATGTCCTTATTGTATACGTGCAAGTTTCTGCTTAAGACCAAAGAGTAAGAGTTAATACACACATCACTTAGGTGTTGGCTCATATCTCAATTATTGATCTGAATAACTTATTAGCTTCTTTTTGTTATATTAGTTTAAATTGACATATAGATTTATGTGTCTTGAATTCTGTAGTACATAATGTAAGAAACCCTGTGTTTGCTGGGTGTGGTGGTGCACACCTTTAATCCCAGCGCTTGGGAGGCAGAGGCAGGCAGATCTCTGTGAGTTCAAGGCCAGCCTGATCT